GGAAGAAATTGGTGCAGCGGTTACCAAGATATACACATGTAACCATAAGTGGGCTTGGCTACGCCCACTTTCCAAAAATTTATAATATTCTTATTTGTCGTCTGAAACTTATTGTAAATATTAATTTTGAGTGAATTATCTTCAGTAGTTACTAAAATATCGCAGTTTTCGTATTTCTGGAAATTACCGTTATATGGGAAGTGGGCGTGGTTACAGTACGATTTCGCCCATTTTCAATACCAACCTACCTTGGATTAACGAAACTTGGCACAGTTGTTGGCCTTGGTACAGCATATTAAATGGCCGAAAATTAAAAAAATCGGACGATAACCACGCCTACATCCCATATAACGGTAATTTATAGAAATACAAAATCTCCGATAGATCAGTAAATATTAAAGATAATTTATTCAAAATTTATGCTTGCGACAATTCTTTACCAAGAAATACGTTTATGGTAAAATTTTGGAAAATGGGCGTGGCACCGCCCACTTATGACCACATATATGTATATCGGTAACCGTTCTATCAATTTGTACCAAACTCGGTATTTTTGTTGTGCTTGCCACATAAAAGCAAAACGTTAAAAATTATTAAAATCGGACTAAAATTACTGCCGCTTTTCATATAACGGTAAATTTCAGAAATGCTTGAAACTGCAATATTTCGAAATTTAAGGACGCTAATTTACTCAAAATTGATACACCCTCGCTTACCATCTAGCGGTAGCTTTCGGAAAGGTGAAAAAACATATATTTAATACTTGCGCCGGGCATTTAATGTTCGGCTCCACCCCAACTTAGACTTTCTTACTTGTTTTCATTTATTTTCATGAAATCTTATGACCTAATTATTAATCATTAAAATATTAGAAGGTAAATAATCAATGTATTACGAACTAAAAATTCAAAAAGTTCTGAAATTTTTTTCTTAAAACACATACACTGGCGACAGAAAAAATAGAAACCACTTATTTCAGTGCATTTCTTTTGCTTATTAATGGTTCCAATATGTATGGCGATTGCTGTCCAGTTGCTGGTCTAGTAGCCATAGCTACCAGTATCCTATTTTGTATTATATATAGCGACTAATCTCAGTATACAGAAAAGTGCTGACAACGTCCGAATTTAGTTTTTTGACATGTACATTTCGAAGTAACTGTCAACTTTGATCCATGTGTTTTAATAATTTATGTAAACAAATTACAAAACCGTCATAAGGGTGAAGCAGAAAATTGCGCCACTAGATTATGTTATAAAAGTCAAGCTGGTTGTATGACAAACGCCATACACATCCACATTTCAAACTTTGTAATTAAACATTAAATAAACACAAAGGAAATGTAGCCAAAAATTAGTTAAAAATAGTAGTAGTATTAGTTCTGCCACCAGCGTACATATGCACATACATAAAACAGATATTGAACAGAGTGGGATTTTTTGTTAAATACTTTTTCACAAAATCTTATAAACTAATTCCTGAACATTTAAAAGTAAATAGCAAACTGATTCATGTCCTACGAACTAAAAACTCAGAAAACCATAAAAGCATACATACAGTTGCGTTCAAAATTATGGTACCAAAATTCAGAAAAATGGGTATTGCTTGCACGTTAAACATCGAATAAACATTGAACATTAAATAAACATTGAATATTAAATAAGCATTAAACATTAAAAAAAACAAAGGTAATTTAGCGAAAAATTTGTCAAAATAAGGCGTTTATATTATTTCTGACACTAGCGTTCATATGTACATACTTAAACCTAATATTAAATAGTCTTAAAATTATAGATTTCCGGGCGATGTGTTTTTGGATTTTTTTGTTAACATTTTTTTTCTTGGTGTAAGCGGTGGTGGCTCAGCTCAACTGCCTTTTTGATATCCTTTTCCAACTCAACTACCAAAACGAAAACCGAGCAACTCAAAGTTTCAAACCTTGTACAAGATTTATTAAAAATCGCAAAATTTCCAAAAATGGTAATCCAAATTTATAACTTTTAAATCACGTTCTCTAAAAAAAATTCGGGTATGCAGATTTACAGCGCATTCAATGTTAGCATAATATTTTGCAAGTTTTAAACGGCTAAAAACTTGCGTCGTTTTTTGATAATTTTTTACAAAGTATGTTAGAAATGTTTTTATATAGGTGCATACATATAAATAATTAATAAAATAAATAAATGGTCAGAACGTTAGAAGTAGTGTCGATAATATGTGTGCATATTACCTCGTAAGATTGTGTCAACCAGTAGTGGTTTTCTCTCCCATCTTCCGTCCCAGTTGAATTGCAGCATTGTTTCGTCCGTAAATAAATGTTTGAGGATGCTGCCTACGTCTTCAGACACACCTTTTAAGTTTATGATGTATGTGGCCTTTTGAAAAATATATGTACAGCAATTAGAATGTAAAATAAATATTCCATCATATAATTCTTTACCATGGCTCGTGCATACTCTTGATCTCTTAATTTGGTTTCCATCAAATCCACTGCG